TCAGTAGCATCATCGTCCCTGAAAACACATTCAAGTCCTCCATGTCTCGTAAATCAAAGGGGTCCTCCAGCCGCAGGCGCGACTCCATGTCCGAGCACCGCTCCGCCTACGATGACAACGAATCTGACGACCGCGAGCCTCGCGAAAGCCCCATTGATGAGTATCCAAACGCTTCGCCAACCAGGCCGTCTGCGGGCCACGCCTTCCCCTCCCCACCACTCATCCCAACCCCTCTTGAATTCGCCCCCTCCTCAGCCTGGGACAACTACCAAGGTTTCAATCTCGTCCCTCGCAGTGGCACGAGCAGCTTCTCCTCAACCGACGATAACCGTGGGGGGAGTGGGAGCGGTAGTTCAAACGGCAGTGCTGCCAGTACCGGAACCGTACACGGTCTCGCAAATCTCAACGACCCTTCTTCCGCACGTTCGTTCAACTTTCAACCTCAGCAACTCCCCTACCAGCCGCAGTCGCTCGCTCCCTCGGCAAACATGAACCGAGGCAGGCCCATGCATCTCGAGGGAATCCACTCCAGGTTCGATGCCCCGATCAACTTTCCTGGCTTCAACCCTCAAGTCCCCTACAACTCCTCCTTTGTCGTTCCTCCTCGCTCCATCTCTCTTGGCGGTCTCCCAGACTCGAGATCAAATTACTTCCCCCAGGACGTCAATGTCAAGCCCGACCCCACCTTGGACGACCGACGCGGATCTTATATGAGCATTGGGTCGTCTAGGTCTACTAGTTCCCAATCCACTTCCGCCTCTTCAAAACTTCAAACCTCGTCCAACTCGTCCCCGGCCTCATCTTGGTCCCAGCAATCCCCTCATCTCAACCCCGCCGTTGTGCCCAACACCTCGAACAACCCCCAATGGTCCCTCCCTTCGGCTTCCGGAATCTACAACCCGCAGCACTCGCGAGTCAAGATTGAACACATGGGTTCACCGCTTGGGGCTTCGCCCATTGTTCCTTCGGCGGTTCCCTCCGCCCAGGCAGGAGCCTCCCCGTCTACTTATCGTCCCACGTACACGCCACCAGCCCCTCCTCTGGCGGGTCACCCAGAGCTCGTTCAGACCGCCGTTCCGCCCCATATGTTCCCCTCTCGACGAGCGACCGTCCCTGCGACTCTTACAAATGAGGCTGTCAACTCGAACCCCAACTGGCCATCGCCCTACGCGACGAGCCCATTCCAGTCTCTCCCGTCCCCGTTCGCAGACGTGTCTGCAGCGTCAGGGGGGACGATTCCCTCTGGGCTGCCCGAATCCTGCGCCTTCCGGCTGCCACCCGCGGTAGAGTCTTTTGACGCGACCAAGGTATCGGCTGGAGACTTACACCAACCGCGAGCGGTGACCGCAACCGGGATTCCAGGGAGCTGGGAGGCCAGCGAGTCTCAGTCGTTCAATTTTTCGGCGCCGTTTGGCGACATGCCGTTTACGAACGCGCCTGAACAGCTTGGGGCTTACGGGAACGTGGGTGCCGTGAGCACGGGTCAATTCAGTATCCCTGGACCGGGAGAGGTGTTTGAGAGTGTCGTGCCCAGTGGGTCCCAGGCGGCGGGTGGGCAACGACCTGGAGATTTCCACCCACAACAACCCTGGCAGACCTGACTCGCAGCTGTTTTATTAATTATCGACGACAAGCTACTATTGCGACTCTGTGTTTTTTGTTCTCGGCTATCGTTTCCGCTGTATCGTCAAGAATGTTTGCCCCCTGCTCTATCGATGTTATCGTGCTGTTTTGTGTGCTGTTTTACGCATGTATATTACTGCAATGGCCAGGTTTTCAACAAACTCGCAAGGCAATCAGTTGTGCGCGTGTGAGGTGTCGTTCTCATTCGCTGCCCTCGAGGGCGCGTGCCGTATGTGCATGCCTTTGGGGTTTAGGACCTTCTCGTGATGTTTTGGACGCTGTGGAAATGAAGCGTCGAGTGGTGTCACGCGGATGAGCCGGCGAGCGTTGCGAGCTCAGAGCTGGGGATAGCTAGACCAGACCTGGACCCGTCCCGACGCGAACTGAGGCATCGACGACGACTCCCCCGTTCTAGACGAGGTACGTCATGCAAAGAGAGGTCTCGCCGGACTTGAATCTCCTATCGAATTGGACGTTGTGCGATCGATTTTCAGTCGGAGAGTGCACGTAATTCCAAGTCAGCTGGGGGGCATCACGCGAAGAAAGGATCGGACGGCCGGGACGAGTTGTGGATTGTCCGTGACGTTATGGTGAGGTGCGGGTGAGGTGGTAGCGAGAGGGAGGCATGCGGCCGCGGTTGATTTTGTCGGCCTAAGCCTTTTCATTGGTGCACAACGCCCGCTGACTGTTGTCCATTCCCAATAATCGCGTCACCATTCTGAAGTGTAAAAGAGCCCCTCGCCAACCATTCGGAAGCCCAAAGCCGAGCGACGAGTCGTGTTAAAGTTCTCAAGTGGGTATTGTTTGCGAGGGGCAACGAGCCATATGGTCTGCAGGTACATCGTCGTCGTCGGACCGTATACCTGCATCGGGCTAGTCGCAGGAAAAAGACACCGTGCGCTGCCGTAATGCATAAACAATTCGAGGTCACCGACTTGTGCATCAAAGAGAAGCGCTGGATCTGTAGTCAAGCACCTCGCCGAAACTAAATTTGTCGCCGTTGTGATTATATAAAACCACCATGCTGTATCTTGCAATCCCAACCAGCCCCCGTCCTGTGAACGAGTGGTCCTCGCGATCGACTATTGGGAACCCGTCTCACGCAAAGGTGAAATAGGTGGGACGTCAGATCGCCCCTGAGTATGAATACTCGCCAATGAACGTCTTTTGCACAGCCACTTTGCTTTGTTCACTCCTCTCGGTCCTGTCTACCCCTTTGTGTGTTGTAATCCACCGTGTCCGGGTGTTGTTCGTACTCGTAGGCGCTCTGACGGGCCCGGCATTTACTCGCCGCACTCTGGCCCGCGCTTTGGTTCGCAACTCGTCACAAGGACGTCTGGGTGATATGTTTCAAGTCTTATCCACCCCACTGCGTACACATTAGTGCGGTGCCATCTCTTCTACTTCTTCTGCGACTAGAACACACCTTCATCATACCGATGCGCCATTGATGATGTCCCAAGGGTGTCTTTTCGCGACGTACCACGCTGCCGGAACCTAGACCCATGGGTATGGAGTATGAAGAAACGACTCCATTATCCGACTTAGGGTTAACCGTCGCCGAATAAGACCTAGATCATGACGTTCATGCCGTGCCTCGACACCCCGCCAGGCGGTTTTGATTTTCCGGCCATGCGCCCTCGAGGTCTCCGTGTGCTCCGCGGGGTGTGGCTCGCATCGCTCGGCTGTAATCGACCTCCAGCACGACATCAGCGAACTGTTCTGAGACACCCTACCCGACGAACGTGCGTTTGTTCTCGTGTTTATCTTAATGAAATGAGGGCTCTTCTTGGGTCCACATGCGGCTCGTGTGCACTACCACCAACACGGCGCGCACCTTCAACGTTTCTTTGGGCGCTCCTATGTGCGTGTACCTGGGCCACTAGCTAAAATCCGATCGGTCTCGTCCTTCAAGGGCACATAACGTACATTCCCCTCCCCGATCTTGTGGGGTATCGCACGAGAGGTAACGGCCCATTGGTAACTATCTCTTGTCGACCCTTCCTGCCACCTGGATTCGCCGTTCGACCTTCAAGATAAGTACAACTTGAGACGGGCTCAAACTCCCGTCTTTTCTCTCTTCTCTTGTGCGGTCACTACTTGCCGCTCTTCATCGTCAACCACCAGTGGGGCGCATTGTGAAGTTCTCGTCGTCATCCAACAGCTCGGATACTCTGCTCGTCTGCGGTATTTGTATGCCCCCTCTCACTTCGGCATCCATGGCTTTGGGTTACTGGTCTGCTTGCTTTCCATATGGCGAGGCCGAGTATCGTGTCGTGTGAGCGATTCGTCGTGGGTTCGTCTCTCGAACCTTGTCTCTGAGGAGGTCAGCTGGACATGCTACGCCCTTTTGGAGTCGTACGACCCGAAGCAAGTCCTATTCTTGCTAGAACGTGGTGACGATGCCCCCCATCTTACACTGTGGTTCAGGCGTGGCGAAGAGCTCTACAATGATCGCAACCTTGCTTGTTCATAGAAGGTGCTGTCGAGATCACAGCTGGAACGATACCCCCAAATCCACCATACAATTTCTCGGCTCCAACCGTGTTTTCTATAATCACGAAAGGAGACACCTGTTCTACCACGTCCAAGGGGGTTTTCGCGGCCTCGCTCCACCGAACTCAACACTCCTGCGCGATTGCCGTTTTCCGCCTCTGATTTATCACCTCACCCGCCGCATCTGTACATGTTCGTTTACGATCCACCCATCGACGATGGTTGCCGACGTTGGTTTATCGAATTGCCCTACATTCTTGGGGTCTCGCCCGCTGTTTGATGATTGGGTTTTAGGTGGCTGGTTTCGGGCACTATAACCCTTTTCCAACACCACGCAGTCCTTCGAAAGCGGTGTCGACAATGTCGGTTCTTCCGTTAATTGTGGTCGAGATTGGGATACGATCGGGCGCTCTAACGCCGGGGGAGCTGGCAATTCGTTCTGATCCTCGGATCTCGTTCCACCCTGTCGTTTGCTGTGCGACGTTGCTCTGGACACTCGGGATTCCAGAACTGCAGTAATTATGCAGGGACACTGGGTTCATAATTCGCTTGGAAATGAGGTGTAACATGACCGAGGGTTGCTGTGTGCTGGCCAGTCGCTTCTAGGCTTATATACACGTTCGAAAACGTCAATTCGGTTCATTCTCGTTGGTGTGTATTCTTACAACGACGGTCATGATCAAGGCGACGGATGTGGCTTCGACCTTTAGCAACTACGTAAACTCGGATATACGGTGCAACTGATCTTCCGCAGCAATCGTGCACGAAGTACTTCATGTCAGCTCTCCGCACTATCTAACCCTTCATCATGTTGCAAGTCTTCTAGAAAGGGACTATCCAGCTCAGCGGCGACGCTCCGCTTCGGAAAAACCTCGGATATCGGGTGCATGGCGCAGCGGTAGCGCGCCTCATTCGCGAGCAGGTTTTGAGGCGGTCTGGGGTTCAAATCCTCATGCATCCAATTTTAGAGTGTTGTTTTACCTTTTTGACTCTTCCGAGACTCCTCCAGCTTGCCTGATGCGGGGCTCGACCTGGACGGAATATATGAGCAACGTGTTTGAGGCTTGCAGCTTGGCTTGATGCATCAAAGTGACGCATGGGAGTCGGTTATGCACTTGAGCGGGGTGCGCTGGGTGGACGGAAGATCGGTTACCCCGTGGTTGTCAGGATTTGTTGCATCGAATGTTTGTAAGGGCTGTTGTTTCTCCACCGTGCACTGAACCCATGGCCGACACAACGAACGCAACGCAAAAATGGGGGCGTGGTAAGTCCCCGAACATTTATCAAACTACCCGTGTCTACTTTAGCTCATCCACCCAACTAATGTTTGCCGCGGTATCGACAAGTGCTGATGTGCGGCGGAACCGACTGGTGGGTTCCCTTTCCATTGTTTGGGGCGCGGCTTTCCTCATTCCTCAATTTTATCCAGGCTCAGATTAGGTCGTAAGGAAACTAAAGGTTCCACTAAACTCGAACATGAGCCATTGTGAGCTGTTTCGGATGCCTGTCTTTTTTCCACGTGATGTTCACTCCGTCTCCCCTCATCGCTCAACTTAGACCCGACCTCCCGTCCCCTCACATCTTACGCTCCTTATCCACCATTAAGGCCGTCTCTGTACACACCTCCCACTCTTCCTGCCATGTTATCGTCCTCACTCTCGAAGGCAACGCTTTTCTCTTTGGTCGAAACTCAAATGGTGCTCTCGGTGTTCCCTCCTCTGTTGCGTCCATCTCGGAGTTGGCACCAATGAAACTTAAACCTTCGAATATCGGCGCTCCAGCTGGTGCCAAGTTTGTGAATGCTGCGTGTGGTAGGAACCACTCACTGCTCATCACGTCGGACGGCCAAGTTTGGGCAGCCGGTGCAAATAACCACGGCCAGGTATGTTTTCAAGGCCTTACTTGCCTCATTGCAGGCCGCGGTTCTAATCTGTGTTTCGGTGCCTAACCTCTGTCATGCCTTTTCTCACCTTGTCTCCATGTTGTTGCTGTGCAGTGCGGCCAAGTTCCGTGCGCTGAAACCGCCGGTTTCAAGCCCGTTCCGGGAGCGTGGAGGAAATCCGATCCAATCGATAAACCCGTCAAAGTTTGCGCTGGTGTTACCTTCTCCCTTGTCTTGACGCAATCTGGCAAAGGTGAGTGCGAAGAGTATGGGGGGGATTGCAAGTCGGGTTGATGTCGTCGTTGTCTTTTTAAAAACGCTAGTGTATTCGTTTGGAAGTGGTGATCACGGGCAATTGGGTAATGGTCGCACCGGTGAACATATCATTACGGGAAACAAGACTGGGTTTGATGTGATTTACGAACCGGGTGTGTATCTCGCCATATGCCGTGGCAATTACGTTTTTAATGGTTTTCCTAGTGCATATCAAGACGTTTGACAAGAAGATTGTCAACATCTCTACTGGTCAACAGCATAGCATTGCCATCGATGTTGAAGGTCGCGTTTTCGTGTGGGGTTATAACGGTTATTGTCGTCTAGGATTGTGTGTTCACGTCTGATGGACTTGGCTGTTTAGTTGGCTGACTGTTTGTGCGATAGGGGCCATCAAAAGGATATACTATCGCCCACCCTCGTACCCCAGGTAAGAGTTCCTTTGTGCTTGGTTGGGCCGTGATGACATCATTTGATCTAGTTCTCGACGGAAAATGACCTCGTCCGTGGTCTGCTAGTCGCTGCGGGACCCACAAACAGTATTATTGTTGATCGGCAGAGGATGTATCACATGGCAGGAAAGTGGAAGAACTCCGGCGAAGGTATGTGTTAACGAATGGTTTGTGATCAACGGTACTAAGTGCTATGGTAGGTTCCACTGGTCAACCGTATACGACGTTCCGAGTTATTGCGGACATCATGTCGTGTAAAATTCTGGCGGCTTGTTCTGGTGGGGTTACACACTGGGCTCTAACGCCTGATGATGAGGACGAGAACGCGCCTTCATCCCCACAACTGGCTCGTTCACCCGGAAAGGAATCACTCGATAAAGATGGGAAGCCCCGGCAGGTGAAAGTGATGACCGTTGCTTGGGGACAGAATGCGCACAACAGCGAGTTGGGGTTCGGAGACGGCGAGCCGAAGAGTGCGCCAAAACCACAACGAGTGCGGACGTTGGATGGTGTTGAAGTCTTTGAGTACGTGAGCCTGCCGTTGAGTAGTTGCGCGTTGACTGAATGGTTGCCTTTTCACAAGCATTGCCGCGGGACAGAACTTGACCATGTTCCTGACCGTGCCTGGAGATTCCGACCTCCCTCGACACCCGGATGAAATTGACCATGCGGAATTGTGCGTGGTGTGTTCTCTCGACCTTGGAGATGATGAACTCGAGCTGGTATGCGATAAAGTGAGGAAGCCTTATGCGCTTCTCGGGGCGAGCACTCACCCTTCGTGTTTAGTGCGATAACCCGTATCACCTAAAGTGTCTGAATCCCCCACTTGACGAAGTTCCGGAAGGCGAATGGTGGGGGGCTTTGATCGTCCCCTGCATATTTTCGGTTGTGCTAATGGGTTTATCACAGGTTCTGCAAGCGGTGTCTTGAAGAATCGGAACGCGATGCGCCCAGTGCAGCGTTTACCGATTACGATACGACATTCAAAACTGCTGCCAAGGCCCCTATTACCGGAACAAAGAGAAAGAATGGTGACGAGGCAGACCCGCAAAACAGTGGTACGTTCGTCCATCGATCTATTCGCTTTGGGGCTTACCAGGTACCCGGATACAGCTCCCAAGAAGAAACGCTAGGCGATGATATCCATTACACTTCAATATTGTTCTTTTATCAAAAACGGATCCCGTCGCTGTACTACCATGCTGCTGCGCCAGGTCAGATATCCCCCTTTGTTTTCTGTTTTCCTTCCCAAAAACACGGAGTTTTCAACGTTCTCGTCCCGTGCTGGATGGCATTTGGTACCGGCTATGTACTTACGCCGTATGTAGATAGCCTATTCTCGGATGCTACGGATTCCCCTCGGCGCGTTGATCTGAGTGCCAGTCAAATTTCGTCATGATGATTATATGGCCATATGCAAATTCCAGATGAGAAAGAGGTATAAATTACACCGACTCGAATGCAAAGTCTAAGATGCGAGGGCCTGCGAGGGTCTACTTGTCCAACGCCCCTACGACGAATAGAACGCCGTACACTACGGCAAGGCCTAATAAACTCGTCAACAAGAGTCCACCGATAATGGCCAAGTACAACTCCTTTGGAAGGCCCTCCTCGACACCCTTTTCAGATTCCAACGTTCCGTTTATCTGCTTAGAACCACCGACTCGCTTGCGGATCTGCATCTCCCGATTGAAAATCCGCAACCTGGCGTCTTTGGGGTCGGTATCAATTCGAGCCTGTGCCGACCGCCCGTCTTCGGTCGCAGGGCGGATGGTGATAATGGAAGGATAGTGGTGCTCTGTCCATTGCTCTATGCGGCTGCACATGACGGAGAGTTTCATGAAGTAGGGATCCGCTGTGTTGCACTTTTTGTGTATTGATCGGCAGTAATCGCGACAGATGTAGGCAACATCCCGTGGATTGGTGGACTTCATGATCAGCTGAGTAGCTTGGAGTTAATGGGGTCTCGTATGACATGACACAGCGACATACCTGGACGGCTTGTCCCTTGCGGATTTTGACATTGCGACGCAGCACATTGGGGTTCATGAAGCAGACGTCGAGGGTAGCCAGTGCCATTACAGCTGGGATGGCGCAAAAGTTGAAGACGGATTGATTTTTGAGGATGGTGAGGTAGTCGAGAGCGTCGGTCACGTGGCGCAGCGCGTCCAACGTCATCCCGCTGAGAGCCCACAGACCACGCTCCTCGTTCTTCGGGTCGGTGAGTTCGGCGAGTTCCGTAAAGCCTTGAGCACCCCAAATTTCCTTGGGCCAAAAGTATCGTCCCTCTTCCACGTCTTCGGCGAGATCACGGAGAATATTCGTTTTCTGTAACAAACTGCCCATGGAGTTGGACAAGACAAGTTGGTCGGCAACCCATGGAGCTTCTTTTTTCGACGCAGCGAATAACCGCGATAACCCTTCTCCGACGAGGCCGGCGACATAGTGACAGTACAGGTCGAATTCTTCAATAGTTTGAACGTACTTGGTGGCTGGATCTTTGCTTGTCGCAGCCTGGTGAGCAAAATCAGCCATGCCCCTGGCCATCTTTTCAGCAATATCGACGATGATATCTTTCCGTTCGGGTTGGAGGATATCGAGTTCGGTTATTACAACGTGGAAATGAACGAGGAGGTCGCGGTCCTTTTCGTTGGGGCCCGAGCCGGTGAACGTCCATCCCGGTTGTGATAGGTATTTATGGAACGACCGCATGAGTGGTTGTTTTTGTTCGTCAGGTAACGTCATGTCATCTTCAATCGTGTCGAGGCCGCGTAGGACGAGGTAGAATAGGCAAATCTATTGGAACGCCGTCAGTGTCAGATGCAGCAATTGCCAAGTACGTGACGCGGCACCAACCGTTCTGGCCAAATCTCCATCTACCTGCTTAATCACTGCAGCAAAACTTCTACTCGTCTTGTCGAGATAGCCCCAACACTCTTGCATGGTTTCACGGTCCCATCCTGAATCTGGGTGTTCTTGGGTTGCGGTTATGTCGCGCTGATGCGAGAAGAATAGCTTGTACTGGACGAGTGAACGGAATTCGGTGGGATGGAGGAGACCAAGCAGGACGTAGTCTAGGATGCCCATGGTCGTAGGAAGTCGTGAATGCTGGTGAAGGGGGTAGTGAGAGCGAATGAGACCACTTCGAAATTTCAATCGTACCACTTTTTCCCACATAAGTTCAGTCTCTGATCAGGGTCGCGCGGCGCGGTGATAGAAAAACCGCGGCCCGGCCACGGACTCGGAAAAACAAGTCTTTATGACATGAGAAGTTCTGATGGGAGTGTCGGGCTTCAAACAAAACCGAATGTGGACGAGACGGTATATACCGCGTAGAGACCAAAGTGATAGAAA